TGACCTCGTGCGTCGGATCATACCGATCGACGGTCGAGATTAGAACTGCGAAAATGACATTGCCTGCCCCTTGTTTTTGGGAACTGTCACATCATTGCACATTGGAGTTGACGAAGATTTTGGGGCCAGTGGCATATCAGTGGCTCCGTTCATCTGAGCGGTTGAAAATTGTTGATCGATGGCTGACAATTTCCGGTACCCCTTACTGTTTATAGGCCCTGGCGTTATATGGACCCGGGGGTGCGATATGCGAATAATACGTTATTCGTTAAAATATGACATTATATTGTATCCTCTTTCGAATGAATTCAGTTTCAGCTGCAGCCTAAGCAACCTAGGCATACCCATCCACTCACCCATCCACTCGCCCCATATGCGGAAGTGTGTTGAGATCCATACTTGTTTATAATGAGCAAGGTGTGCCTGATATGCGGAAGTGTGCCGAGATCCATACTTATGTATAATTCTGATGAGCAAGGCGCCTTGATTTTGTCCTTATCGGAGAAGTTTGATAAGTGTGTTGAGATCCATACTAAGTCTTATTTTCGATTGTGATGAGCTTGGCGCCTTGACTGTATCCTTGTCGGAGAAGTTTGATAAGTGTGCTGAGATCCATACTTATTTCTAATCGTGATGAGCAAGGTGCCTTAATTGTGATGAGCAAGGTGCCTTGAGCAGCACAACCTACGACCCTCACTGATGGATAATCACAGCAACACAATGACGTCGACTCCTTGTTGTGTTTGAATGTTGGAACGTCGAAAGTTCCGGTAGGCAGAGTTGAGGAAGGAAAGAAGGGAACTACCGCGCTTACTGCTCCGGGATTGAGCCTTCCCCCAATCCCCCATAAGAGCAGCGTGCTGCTCTTATGGGTGCCAAATAGTGCGCCAGCCCGCATCGGGACCGACCACCTTAATCCAGGCCGACTTCATGCCGGGCACTGGTCTTATGGGTGCCACATAGTGCGCCGCGTTGCGGTGATACGAGCGAAAAAAGAGATTTTAACCCCCAACCTTACGTTTCTCACATATGGCTTGTGAATGATGTAGCGTAAGCTAATGCCCGTGCCTATATAGGCCAGGCGCGCGCTCGCAGTGGAATAACCAACAGGAAAACGTTATGGGTGCACCCGAGCAGTGGGGCGGAACAGGTAGTTGGACAGCAGGCGACCACTGCGGTGAATTCGGAGAAACCAGTGCCCACATAGAGTTGCTCCCAGCGAGGCCGTTACGTGATGGCCTAGGGGCGACTCACGGCACGCGGAAACGCAAGCAGCACTGCGGACGGCACGTGGAAATGCAAGATGAATCTCACGCCCGCAATTGTGTCTAAAACTGCCATGCACCAAAAAAAAATTTCCACAAGTGGACTAATTCTAAGAGCAGTGCAAAAGCAGAACAGGACGAGCGCAGGTGAAAACGAATGAGCACCGTCATCGGAATTTCGGATATCGGCGGACTACAGCCTCTTCGCCCCCGCCCCCAACAAAAGTCTTATGTAGGTTGCCGTACATGCAATAATAATCATAGAGCGCAACATGAGTTGTTCCACTACACGAGAAGAGAGTGAGAGAACGTCATTTAAGGGCTAGAAGACACGCGAAAACACAGATGCCTTCAAATAGCAAAATTACAAACCGTCGTGACAAGCAAGGGGCAGCAATCCAATTTCATGCCTTACTTTCCACACACAACATACAGAGGAAGTGAATCGCACAAGGCACCGACATCGAAAGTTCGAATGCCGGCGAAGTACAGCCTCTTCGCCCCCCCCCCGACAACAATCTTATGTACCACAACCTACATAAGATTGTTGTTGGGGGGGTGAAGAGACTGTAGTCCGCCGATATCTGAACTTTCGATGTCGGTGCCCTGTGCGTTTCACTTGCAATAGAAATCATAGAGCGCAACACGAATTGTTCCACTGCATGACAAGAGACTAAGGTGACGAAGTCCACACATGAAAAAGTCATCCAACTACAAGAAAACAATGTTGAACAACACGAAAATAGTACCACTGCCATACCGATAGCGAGCATCCCAAAGACAACGAGAAACAGACCCAATGAAGAAAACAATGTTGAACTCAGAAAGACAGTTGAATAATGTCTTATGTTACCGAATACAATTGCCATAGAATGAAATACATTTAAAATTTTTTGTACAAGTCATTGAAAACTGTCAAAGACAACGTGATTCCAAGAGACATGTTTTCAGTTGTCGTCTAATAACAGGCAAATCTTTACTCGAGAATCTGAAAGAGGGTCGATCACCACGTTGCAACAGCGTTCCAAATGTCAACATGAACACCCCGCAACTAGCTCCATCAACTTGCCTTGGAACTCCTTCCACAACACTTTTTCTGACCATAGTCTTCCAACTCCTATCCGACCGGCTATATGAGGTATGACGTTCTAAATACTGTACAATCAACTCGAAAACAATACGGTAGAAACTGAAATCAACTTTAACGCGAGGAAAAGAGTCAAAATTTTTGAAGACATTGTCTCTCAAATTAACAGAAAGGAGGATCCAGTGATCGTTATGTTTGTGCACCGGAACGAAGATCATATCGACCTGAAGCAGATCAACGTTTTTAGCCCACCTCTCCACCCCAGTGTGTCCTCGAAGTTGCAGCATACTGAAGAAGAAAGAATTGAAGCTGAAGATTCGAAGGCCTGATGACCGTGCACGTGTCGCGGATGCCGTCGATCCCAAAGGGACCATGTAGAAATTCACCACCTCATCGTTGATCTTGCCATTGGATTGCAAAACGGTGAGCATATCTTTCGCCGTGATTGTGAATTGATCATCCGCAAAGGAAGAGAGGACATAATGAGGAGGCACCACGCTGCGAGAAACATCGTCCATAACCCGCGGCTGCAGGTGTTGTGGCCCGAGCTGCACATCATCGACCAACGCACACGCGGGGAAGTGAGAAAGGAAGTTCTAAAGGTTGTCGTTCACCGCACGATACCTCGCTAAGTATTTTTCATACATGGCCTGACCCCTAGTCACATATTGTTGATATGTCCCCTTCTCCGCAGGTAGAAGGGAAAGACATTCGTCAATGGCTAAGGCATGCTCCTTCTCTCCAATCTCAACATCAACCCCTGATGCCTTTAACATATTCTTGTTTCTTGTCGTGAATCTCGGAAGTTTCTGCAATATACGTGCCGGATATTTCGAGAAACTCCTTTTTCGAGATGACCGGACCCCTGTAAAACAGAGAACAGACAAAACCCGAAATGAAACTATGATTCCCAGGAGGAGTTCGACGAAAGTGACAATGTGAAAGATAATGTAGCCCACAAGCATGTGTGCATTCGGATATAAAACGACGAGCGTTGTGAGCCCGAGACCCCGCACATAACGATGAAGACCACATCAAGCCAAAGAAGAGGAACGCCTACCAATGCTGAAGTTTGGATTTCGGCGGACTTGCAGCTACAACTAGCAGACACGGACCAGCCGGGTTTGATCCTGACACTGGAACTGCGGTGACCGGAGGAAACTGGAACTTCGAAGGTTATGTTTTCTAGTCCGCCGGTATCCGCACTACAAGTGCCGGCGCGAGGTGGAAAGTCGGCATTTGCCGATGTGCGGATTCCAGCGGACTTGCAGCCACAGTTCACAAACACCGACCAATGGGGCGTGCTCCACCTCGCGCTGGCACTTGTAGTTCGGATTCCGGCGGACTTCAGAACAGACCTTCCGTATTACCGTTTTTCCAGCGGTTTCCGCAGTTCCAGTGTCAGGACCAAACCCGGTTCTGCGACCTGACCTGCTGGTTGTAGGTACAAGTGCGCCGGAATCCGAACTTCGGCATTTGTAAACATTCCTCTTCTTTGGTGTGATGTGGTCTTCCGTCGCCATGTGCAGGGTTCTCGGGCTAGACAGCGCTCGTCGTTTTATGTGCGAATGCACACAAGCTCGTCGCTGCGAAAATCATTCATCGGACGGTCTGTCTTGAAGTCCGCCAGTATCCGAACTACAGGTGTCGGCCAGAGATAGAAAGTCGAGACGGTGACAGAGGACTTGTAGAGGCAGGAGCGGATGAGCGATCGCAGAATAAAGCGTGACGGTGTGTCAAAAAACAAGAGGCCAATTGGTCCTCGCTGACAAGTGAAGCGGAATTTTGTCCATCTAACATGGGGCATAAACCGACAAGGGGGTTGACAGACAGCGTCGACAATCCCGAAACGCGGGAGTGCTGACATCGCGACGATCGTCAATGCTTACCAGCTTGTTTTTCTTTCCGCTCCTTCGTTGGCGACGTGGGCGCTGGTAAGGCGAGGACAACCAGGGCAGGAGTGCCTACCCTGCACTTTTTCAGGTACATGACGTGCTGGCGGCCCCCAACAACCCCCCCCCTTCCTCCCGTGAGCGGTGACCAGGGTACCGGAAAGCACGGCTGGATGAGCGCCAAGTCCCCGTTGTTGAGAAGGGCATCGTATTTTGACGGGGTGGACGGAAGTGTTTTAGCTTGCACGTCGCCCAGTATGCTATCGATGACCTCGTTGACGCTAAGACAGCGAGTCGTTTTCGCCGGGCTCACTGTCATGACAGCCTTGTCGCACCCGTCGGGGGGATGCACCGCCGTGGCCAGGTGGTGGGCGTCACATTCTTCGTGGTCCACGGAAAGGCCACTAACCACCTGCGTCTTCATCTCCATTGCCGTCGTGTCGTCGTCGATATCACCTTCACCTGGTCTAGCGTACACCAGACCGAATGAATCAGATGTCTCCCCGAAGACATCCTCGTCTCCGGCATCCATCCTTTCCTCGTCTGTAATACTGAGTCCTCCTTCCTCACCGTCTTCCCCTTCTTCCCCGCCCTCGACTTCCACCCTTTCTTTCCCCCCATCAGTTTCACGCGACTCGACTCCTTGCAGCCGCATCAAGGCGGATCCCAAGGAGCGGTTGTCTGTATGAACAGACGTAGCACCTTCCGTCGTCCCTGCCTCCTCAGACTACAGGCACGTCACGGACGAAGTACGGATACTGGCGGACTTCGTCGCAAGGAAGGCGGACGGCGCTGCACCAGCAATCTCTCTCTGTGACTCCGCAGATCGGCCTTATCGAAGGGCCGGTGGCGTCGCCTCCCGCACAGCCAGGGAGGCGCCCATCTCCGTCGCCTGAACATCGTCCGCACTGGTAGGGATGCCCGCGGACTTGCCCTTCACGGCGGAGACAGGATCCCCTGCACATGAGCCCTGCCCCAGTTCACCGGAGGAGCCGAATGCAGTCCACGAGGGAAGGGCCGACTGCTCCAGAGTCGTCGAAGTGCGGATGCCGTCCGACTTCGCTGCCTCCACGGGCACTGGGTCCTCCGTCTGCGAAGTTCGGATGCGGGCAAACTTCCCTGACTTGCCGCTCCCTGCTGTCGGGGAGTGTGTGACGTTCACCCCCTCTTCCCCCACGCCGCTGTGCGCGATCCTGCCCTGACCGCCAAGGCCAGGCGATGATGCCGGCGCGCTTCCCCCTGATGTCGTATGGCCACTGCCTCCGCCACCTCCTTCCTCGTGGCCATTGCCTCCCCCCCCTCTGGCCGTGGGGGGGCTCGGAGGTCCTCCTCCCACACTACCCTGGGTCCCTGTCGACTGGGGTACTTTCCAGTTCATCTTCTTCTTCGAAGGGCTCGTGTCGAGGTCGTAGAAATCGTCAGATAGTTCCAACCACTGCTTATCATGAAGTTCCCGAAACAAGCGATCAGCAGTGGCAATGATGGACGGGTCGGCGGGCTGCAGGTTGCTGTTCTCTGACGTCACTTTGTCCACCACAACACTCCTCGCGATATCCAAGTAGTCGGACTTGGCCAGGCGCTCGGACGGCTTCCATTCCCCGTCAGTGTCGACTATGGCCATGACCCACTCCCCCTTCTGAATTGCGGGCTGGATCGTCCCTGGGTGCCAAATCATGTCATGACCCCAGTCTGCCTCCGTGGAACGCCTGTGGTCGTGCCCTTCGAAATGGATGCTCTCATCCTTCCGAGAAGGATGTTGCAGGGGGACTTGACACCCTGGACGCAGAGGAGGAGGCGCAGCAGGCCGAGGTGTCAATCTCGCCAACAGCTTACTAGGGGTCCTCCGCACGGGCGTCGCTTGTGCAGGCCGGTTTGTTGAGGGACTCGCCGATGAGGAGGCCGGGGATGGGAGCACCGGAGCAAGGCGGTAGTCGATGTCAATTTCCTCGGTGTCGCTATCCACCTCAGGTGCACCGGTGTCAAAGACAACACCGGTGAGGGACTCGTCGTCGGCGTCGATCAAGGAACCGTAACTCTCGAGCCTCAGGACCGGCTGGGATTCGACAAAGTACAATAACTCCAGTCGGTCCAGGAAGTTCTTCGCGTTCAGGCGCGTGGCGCCGTGATAGTTGTCTAGCAGCGCCAACATGTGTTCCGTGCGGCGCATGTACTCGATGTCGGTGCCCCTCGCAGGACGCTTCTCCAAGAAGAGGAACTCGTAGATCCTGCTCCTTTTCCGGGCGCTTAGCTTGAACCACATGTCCATCGAAGGATCCCAAATGCGTCTCGGCTTCTCACTCTTCGTAATGAGCTCGCACTGGTATGCTCCTGAGTTGACCGTGGTTTTCAGGAAATCCAACGTGAATTGCAACCACTCCGAATTCCCCTGCAACGCGATGACGTTGCGACCACCCTTCAAAACCTCCCACACGACTTGTGCGTGCGCTTTCCCGAGGAACATGATGCCCTCCCCCTTTTTGCAAAGGAATTCCAGCAGATGGGTGAATTGCGTGGGGTTCCGCTCATGGCCCTTGTACACCACGGGATCACGCCCATGTATCACGACGGGCCATTCACAAGCGTCGAACGGCATCTCGGATATCTCCGTGGGAGTCACTTTCTTATGTGCCCCCACCGCGGCAGCATCACCCCCCGCCAACCTCGCGTCGTAGACAACAGATGTGTTCTCCCGCAAGTCGTCGCCTTTGAAAAGGATGTACATGCGGTCGTCCAAGGAGTACAAGTTGTGGCCGACACTGAAACTTTTTTTCTGCTGCGTCCTCCTCACCCACTTCCCGGCCATTGCCTTCACGACGGACAGATGGTGCAGGCTGGTCATGAAGTAGTAGTCGTGCTCACGGGGGACGAACGCGACTACTGTCCAGTGCGAGGGGAACAAGTGCTCCAGGAGGGCATTCAAACTCTCGAAGACTTAGTTGTCCACTGTTTGATGTCCACCGGTTCGCACAAGTCGAGAATGCACGTGTGGCATTTCGTGATTCCGACCACCCTCTCCAACTCCACGACCTTCATCTGCGCATCCAAAGGGTCGACGCCGAACGGGGCAATAGTTGTGACGTCCTTCGAGTCGTTCCACAGCGCGACTTCCATGCTTTTCGACCTGCTGCCGGTCAACACGGAGAGGACCTTGTTCTTCCAGTCGATGGGCAACTTCTTGTTTTGGACTAGCTTTTCTGTCGCCTTGATCGACTTGTCGTCCTCGCAACCCATGTAGGGCGGACAGTCCTTGAACAAGGAGGAGTCGCTGACAAGTTTCTTGCTCCCGTCCCACAACGCTTCATCCAGCCCCTGCCCTTCAAACTTTGCCAAAATCGCCTCTCGTTTTTTCAGGAAGGGGTACTTAGTGGTCCAGTCACTGTCTGGCCGGTTCTCATGCTTGAACTGATAGTAGTTCCACAACCGCACCAATATGCGATCGCACTTCACCAGTTGCACTGCCTCTTGCATCCCCATCTTCCCTTGCTTCGCCAACGCGGAGGACCCTGTTGACACCCAGACCACCTCGCAGTTGAGAACCTTCTTCAACAACCGACATTTCTCATTGTCGGTAAGGGCCTCCATGCTCTTTCAGTAGTGCGGATCCGGCTCGGTGACCTAGACGAGCCAGTTGCCTGGCCCTTTTTCCTTCTTGCCTTTCTTTTGTGGCCCTTCGACGGGGACATTGTAGACGACCACCTTTCGCCCGTCCTTCTTGTTTTCGATGTGGCTCACACCTGGCTTGAGGCCCTGCACCTTCTTCTTCTTCGCGATCCACTTCGCTCCTTCCGGTGCCAGCAGTCTGCCCGTTTCCCATCTCTCGAAAAATTCCATCCCGGTTTCCCATGCGCTTTTCCCTGCCATCGCGAGCGGAAAATAGGATCGAAGGGCAGCGTTCTGTTTCTTGATTCCTTGCTCGGTCTTGTCATCGGCCAGAGTCCACAAGTGACTATATGACGTCCTGTGGAGCGCCTCCGCACAAAATCTTCGCCATGCCTCCACCTGCGCCTGTTTATCGCTGGGGTTACCCATAACAGCTTTCGGGTAACCCAATTCCTTCCAACACCACCGAATGTTTCTCATGGAGAGTTTCGGCTGTCTCGGAGGGGCCTTCAGGTCTTTCTTGTTGTCCTCGGCGCTGACCAGAAAATACCCCTCAAAGTCCTCGTCCGAGAAGTATACCATTCGTGCAGGCCAGCGCTCGAAGCTGTACCTCACCGCCACATCGGTGCCAAGCAGCGCCCTGGCCGCAGCCGCGTTATGCTGGCCCGCCACAGCGTAGTAGTAGTATTGCCTTGCCAGCTCGTCCTTCCAGTCCTCCGGCTTCAGACGATCCGCCCGCACCCCGGGCATCGGTTTAACCAGCCCGAGAGGCGCGAACTTTAGTGTCGGCAGCGCGTAAGTCTTCTCGGCCTGAGAGTAGGCCGTCGTCATTGCGTCAATAATGTCCCGTATTTGCACGGGATCCAAGGAACGCTGGTTGTATGCCGCCTCCCGCTCGCCGATGTCGATGACTTGCGACGGGTTAATGACGAATCGGGCGCTTTTGGCTCGACGCGCCGACATGCCCCTCAACTCCCTTCCTTTTACCCCCTGACTGCTGTGGGGTTTTTGTCTTCTGCTTCTTTTTAGCTCCCGGCGCCTCCCCCTCAGAACCTCCCCTTCTCTTTTGTGTAGACTGTTGTTCCCCTCCCTCCCCGCCGGAAATGACGCCAACTGTCGTGTCCTCCGACCCAAGCCGCGACGGCCACTTGACGTCGACGACTGCTCGACAACCGTTGCCCCTCTCTCAGCCCCCGGAATTCTCAGCGTCCCGCGATCTCCGAGTCTTTGCGGCGAAACTCGCGTGTCCTCCTCTTCTTCCTCTTCGCTGTCATCGAAGCGACCGCGTTCCTCACCCTGCCGGGGCTGTACTGAACCACCAGAACCCATTTCCTCACCCTACCGGGGCTGTACTGAATCACAGGAAACGAACCTGGAGCACATTTGCACATGAAGCGACAGTTCCAGGTCGCTCGAAATTTGGCAGGGATCGTCGAGGTCGAAGTCGCTCCTCTTGACCTCGTCAAAAAACTCCCTGGCCGAAACAAGGCCTCCCTCCGCGACTTCAGTGTAGAAAGGGGTCCTCAAAGCCCCCCCACCAAACCCCTGGAACAGATCCCACGAGACAATTGCCCCTTTCGCACCTGCCAGAACGTCGCCCTTCGAATTGCAAACGACATGCATCAGGTAGCACTGCTTGTCGTGGTTTTTCGGTGGCTGCCATCCCTTGACCGAGCCGAGCACTCTTCCACGAAGATGACAGGACCGCAAGGCGGTTTCATGGGGTCGTCATCTTCGGCGAAGCACCAATCGATGAACCAGTTCGTGTGCGCATGATTCGACCACGATTTTGCGTTCGTCGACTCCCTCCCCGAGGTCCCCGTAGGCTGCTCCTCGCATCTTGACGTAGACATTGTATCTGCACCAGACGTCGCGGAGGATGCATTCGAAAACAAACAACACCGCCAACAATCACCAAATGGGGAACTTCGGATACTGGCGGACTACAAGCCAGGCAAATAGAAAAGCAGAACACCGCGAAGGGAAAAGCAGGTGCGCTGGCGGCGAGCGAACAGCGTAGAGGGGAATGGTGGTTGTCGACAGTTAGCGCGCAAACGGGCAGCTTTACAACTCTTTATAGCATATGTTAGAAGTTCGGATTCCGGCGAACTTCGTCCATCGGAGGTCAAGATTGCGCACGTTTCTCATAAACGGACATGTGGTTACTATAGAAGATCGCTCTACCATCGGAGAATATGTATCATGAGTGATGTCCGGATTCCGGCGGACTTCAGCAAATGTTGATGGGCCATTGTGACAGGGTCTGACCTTGTTCCACCAGAATCCGAGGCAGACGGTGCATGAAGTTCCGACAGAGAAAGACGTGTTCTTGTAGTTCGGATGTCGGCGAACTTCCTATCTTACAAGCATCATAATGGTCGACAATTGTGCACAGTGATTGTGCATCATTGGGAATCAAGTGGCAGGCAGACAGTGTGCAAATGCCATTACGCGAGGAACCGTGCCGGAGGGCAGTTCCGTTCGCGAGGTGCGAAACTCTGCTCGAAACAGACCCACATCAAACAAGAAGGTCCACCGAACTGACCACAGTTGCGAATGAGCATCCCGAAAGACTGCCCCAACAACTGATAACCTGCGGGATCCGGCGGGGTTGTTCTGTTTGTGGAGTGCAAACATTTGCTCGAAACAGACCCACATCCAACAAGAAGGTCCCAAAACCTAACCCCAGTTGCGATTGAGCATCCCGGAAGACTGCCCCAAGAGCTGATAAGATGCGGGATCCATATGCTGGTCCGTGAATTACCTGGACTGCAGTCGCTTCCTCACCTAACTCGACGAATCGCAGAGCGGCCTTTGACACACCCACTCATCACCCGAAATGCGAAGTTCGCCTATTTCCGAACTTTTGGAGGGGGCGACCGGAAGAGACAGGGCGCACTTAGTTAACAGGCTGGTTGAGAAGGCGAAGTCCGCCCACATCCGAGCGCGGACGAAACGAGTCGTCTGGGCAAGGGTGGACACGGGCCGTTGTCGCATGAGGATGCAAGAAAAAACGACAGAGCAATATGAATCCGCTTGTACGAGGTCTGGTGAAGGTGGGGGTCCGACAAAGGGGCTTAAGGAAACACAAAGTCGGTTCGAAGGCATTGTGCAAAAGTGAAGTTCGCCGGGATCCGAACATAGGGCCGGTGCTGGAGAGAGACGCGATGTGCGTGACGAAGGCTCTGCGCTTTCGTGTTCAGTGCAATCAGCTGTGCGTCAGGAAAGCCACGACGTCGGAGGACACACAGAAGCATGTTCAGATGGATAGCTCGGGCTTTGCACCACACGTGCGCCATATAGCTTCTACTATCAACTACTGCCTGTCACACCTCTCGTTCCTTTTTCCTCAAGCACGAGGTCTGACAACCCGTCCTGATCTGGTTACATTCGGGATCCCTCGGGGATCCGTAAACGTGGATCTGCGGTTCTTTGACTGACGCATTCTCCGAAAAGACGGACATGTATTTCATCCGAACGAAAACTCCCGGTCGGGCTAAGGAATTCCCAATACAGTCCCGTATGTCAGACACTTTCTCTTCCACTTCATGCCACAACGAAAAGTTTTGTACCTGCCCTGCTACCAGGACGTCCGGCCACCCATCTACACGTTCTGGCCCGCGCGCTTCGACGAATTTGGACCCCTCAATTACCACCTCGTTTCGTGACACAAGCACAACTGCATCGACGAGTTTCCTACTTTTGTTACAAGTGGCGACACACAGCACTCTGGCGAAATCGGTTCGGGATACAGTCAACCTTACACAAGAGTAAGATACAGCTTGTGGAGAAAGACCAGGGCAACGGAGCGGGTAGTGCTCCAGGAACGAGCAGTGATGAGCACAGTCCAGAAACTCTTGTTTTAACGATCCTGTCCACGCGCGTGGCGACGACGTGACGTAGTGACACTCTAGGCGACTGAAATGGCGGCTCATGCAGCTCAGTTTTCTGCGCATACGGCTCAGGAACTTGTGTCCGAGGACAGCGTCAGGCAGCGTGATGAGGTCTCTAAACTCCAACATGTTGGCGAGCTTGTAATGGCTTGCCCAAGGGCATCGACTCTCCATCGCGGCCCAATTGACATCGTGCCAACCGTCAAGATGCTTGTCCATGCACGGGACGACGGTCATCCACGGGTCCTCTTCAAAGTCCTCTCTGGTGGCTCCGTGGATCAAAGTCACGCCGTTGAAGTGCCTTACGGATTTCGCACAAGGAGGAAACGGCTCTGCCAACCGCATGTGCGCCTCGGGACTCATGATCTCTGGTGTCGACAATATCGAATGGAAGATCCGTGGTGTCGAGAAGTTCCCTTTCATTACGCACCCTACACACCACGGACACATATCAAACGAAACACACGGCCACGCACACAGTCGTAAACGGAGTCGAAAAATGGCCACTCCCTTTTGCCACGCCTACACGCAGTCGGCAGGTCACGAACTGTATAGTCACGAGGTTCCACACACTTTCAAGTACTTCATATGCACAGGGGAATGCGGCCAAACGACAGGGGACCCAATGACAGGGCGGATGACAGGCGGAAACGTGATGTTGGCGACACCTGTCTACAACACCTGTCTACAACACGTTTAACATCCTGATTCGTAAACACCCCACAGATGAAGCTATGGAAAGTTGAAGTCTGTGCATTGAAATTATTCGGAGTCAATTCAAAAACACCTCGACAGATGCGGGTCGAAAATGCACGGTCGCAATGCGAAGAACGGTCAAACCGAAGTGTTTGCAGGAAAGCGAAGTTCGGCGGGATCCGAACTTTGAAAAGGTGCGAGAGACCGGGAGATAGAGAGCTCACCGCCACAACACGTTTGTAGCAACGCGAAGCGATTGCTTAATTCCACTGCCCAGGAGGGAAACCGAAGACTCATTGAAAAAAGGTCGGTAATTGGTAGTCCGCCGGCATCCGAACTTGTGTCCTTCATGCAATTAAGGGGCCGCCGGAAACACCAAAGTAAGAACCTGCATCATACGGAAATGCGAAGTTCGCCTGGATCCGGACCTGACGTTTGCGCGAATATCTGTCTCTGCATGGTTTCTGGAATCATGGTGCACAAGGACGACCACAGTCTTAAAGGTGGCCCGGCGAGAAGGCGGTTTCACGACATTCTACGCAGCCGACGTTCGAAGCTCCGATCGGGGCAAGCATGGTCGATGACTGAATTTCGGAAACCCTCGAAGTCCGGATACGGGCGGACTTGGTTTTTGTTCGAATCCAACGGCAACCAGGTGAGCCACAGACATGGCTCGTCCATAACTTCGTGAGAGCGTGTGAGAGAGCCAGACAAGGTCTGTCGAGCTCTCGGTCCCGCAGTGTCCGGCGGACTTCGCATTCCAGCACATTAGAACAACAACACAAGTTCGCTCGCATCCGAACTTGACGCGTTTCCAAACTGTCGTCGGCCTTTTCACGCTCCGGAAGTCTCATGTCTAGCTATTGATCGTTAGAAGAAGTTCGGATACCGGCGAACTTCGAGTATTTTCCATACCGCCTCCGTTCCTTTGATGCGCATGCAGTACTAGACAGGCCTGCGTTGTTGTGCGAATCGAGTGGCTTATGAGAGGGCGAATGGGAATGGGAAGTTCGTCGGGATCCGGACATCGTCGGGTGGTGATTTTTTTTTCAAATCCATATCAGGGTTCTATGGACGACGAGGTTAGATGGCCGACAAGGTTCGATGACCGACGAGGTTCGATGGCCGACGAGGTTCGATGGCCGATAAAGGTTCGATGGCGGACGAGGATCAATCGACCGCTGCAAGATCTTTGTTCAACCAGCGATCATATCGAACCCCCGTCGGCCACCAAACAGTCGTTCCGATTGTGCGTCGTTCAGTTTCCAACGATTGATCGACTGCAGGGCGAATGTGTAGCGGGAGTAAGGGGTGGATTAGACATCCGTTGATGGAACGATCAGAAAAGAAAAGAAGAAGACAATGTCGCTCCGTTCTTCATTGTTGGTTTCGTCTTCCTGTCAATCAAATCGTATCGATGGAAATCATTCACTCAATCAAATCAACCATGTACCAGCAGTCCATTCTTCCGATTTCGCTCATCGTCTCGATGGACGTGCCGTCTTCCCAATATATTATCATGTGCTGGTTGAGAACTCGTTCCGATTTTGCTCAACCTGCACACAAACACAGACTGACATTGCCAAGTTTCAGAAGATTGGAATGACTTGCCTGCGCTGCAATCACCAGCAATCGGTCGACAGGCAAGTCCTTCCCTTCTCTGGAGCGTCGAAATGGCAGGATAAGCAAAACCGAGGTGCGTTCTCAGCCAACCGATTGATTGGTTGAACGATCCAGCAATCGGATCAGACATTCATTGATTGGATGAACAGGTCTGGTTGGAGTTACAGTTCCATTTACGTTATCGTTATCCATTCAATCAATGGAAATCTCTCAATCACGCTCCACACGTGGATTGAACGATCCAGGCGTAGGTTCATTCGATTTCGCTCATCGTGTCGATGGGAATCTCTCACTAAACCAAACCAATCATGTTCCGCGCATGGATTCATTAGATTTTTATACTCGTGTCGATCGGATTCGTTCCGATTTCGCTCATCCTGCACACAAACAAAGACTTGCATTCTCGCGCTTGGGGAGATGGGAATGTGTCGCCTGAGATGTAGTTAACAGCAATAGGACGGGACATTCATTGACTGAACGTTCGAGTGCGGAAAAACAAATACATTAGCGCTCCGTTTTCCTTACTCGTTGTCGTCTTCCCTTCATTCAACCCAAACCATTTAGCCCAGCATCCATCCGATCTCGTTCAAACCACCATATTTCCAAGTGTGCGAGTGTGTCATCCATGGATTTCTGTCAACTTGAGCAAGCGATCAACCGCGCAGGCAATCGATCAGCGAAATGAGTCATCAGCCAGATCGAAATGAGTCATCACCCAGATCGGAATGAATCTTCAGAAAGATCGGAGTGAATCTTCAGCCTGCGCGGTTGATCGGCTGCGCTAGATGAATCTATGCATGGACGACAAACTCGCGCACTTGAGCACATGTGCATACGGGCACTCCGCTGGAGACGCGCGCATTGCAAAAGCACACACTCGTTCACAAGACAGGTGGCGGGGAGCAGGTCGCACCAGCAGGACACACGCGCATTGCAAACATGCAACGTCATGCATCCGTGAACTAAAACCTTCCGCATGGCGACGCGCACATGCACATGCACATGCACATAAACACATCCGCACACAAAGACACACGGAGTGAAGAGTGATCGAATCGAAACGGACACGTGCCAACTCACCAGATGAACCAGTCGCCAATGGACGAATACGCAAGCAGGTCGACGCGCACAGGCGGATGACCACGCGAGCAGGTCGACGTGATAGGTGGATGATGAAGCGATCCGCGAGGAATATGGCGTGGACGTGAAAGGTCGGCAACGACTGCGGTGCGACGCGGAAGGTGACGTGGAATGCAACGCGGAATGTAAAGGAGGACGATGTGCGTTGGTGCGACGGAGGTTTGCCTCGTGCTGCTTGCAAGCTATGGCGCTCCGCCTGTGAGGGGCGCTGGTGTTGACGGCAATGGCCATGCGATACGTCCGTCCGGCAGCATGTCCCCAGCAAAAAATCAGAATACGGCTTGATTCGCATGGACGCCGCTCGAATTTGTACGCGCGAGGATTTCAGGCCCCCACACATAATCCTTTTCGGCCTTTTCGCGCAAACGGACCGTGGGTCGCCGAACGACAGTCAGATTCGCGCATCGTGCGGTGGCGCGATGTTGAAATCCACGCGAGGGGGGGCCGGTGCGAACGTCATGAAAAAAGGGCCCTGCGCGGACGTCATGAAAAAAAGGGCCCTGCGCAGACGTCATGGAATTGTCGGAGGGGCGGTTTTAGGCCGCGCGAGAGGACAGTCGGGGGGGGGGGGGGGGGGGGGGGGGGGGGGGGGGGGGGGGGGGGGGGGGGGGGGGGGGGTTATTTTTTGGGGGTCGGTGGTCGTGGCGGCTGCGCCAACCTAAACAGCGAAGTCATCGTCTGGCCGTCCGATTTTTAGATCGGACGGTCGACGTTTGTCGTCCAAAACCACGGCGGCCTGGTTTTTCAATGCGGTCCCACGGCAGTTGTAGGACGGATTTGGATGCCAGTGAACAGCTACCTCGGGTTTGGTACAGCCCATTCGCATCTCCCGCCCACGAGCGCATTCGAACGTGATGTGACCTCTGCGACATCGGCCATCGCCTTCGCTGCCTCGCAGTCGCGCCACGTGTTTCCGAGCGTGGGCAGCTTCATCCCAGTTGATGTCCACCTTCCGGAGACAGGACACCCTGTCCTTGCGTTCTGAATCAGCGTGTGTCCGCCATTGCCTACGCTTTGCCCTCGCCAACGAGCTGCTTCCGTCCTTCACGGTACAGCGTCTGTCTCCTCTCGCCGTCTCGTCATTGTCGTCCTTCCGACTGCTCGTGCCCTCCAGTTGTCGGAGTTTCGACACCCCGTCTTCGCGTTCCCCATGGACACGTGGTCGCCATCGTCTGCGCTTCGCCCTCGTCAAAGAGTTGCGCCATCTCTTCAAGGTAGATCGGTGTTCTGCCTGCCCACGTCTAGGCCGTTGACGACCACGGTCGGGGCTGCCATTGGGGCACATTGCTGCCGGCGCATGACATCCGCCACGGCGCGACGCATGTCGCATGTGCTGGGAACGGCTATCGATAAAACTGGGGCACAGGATGTTTGTGTTTACTATTCTTCTCAGTCTTTTTTTTCGTCATCATCATCCACATCATTCCTGCTGGGGTTGAGGTTGGCATTGGGGCACATGGTTTCTTTCTTTTCTTTTTTTCTCACGGGTTCGTTCGTCACCATCAACCACATGTTGATCGCCGGGGTTGGCAATGGGGCATATGGTTTCTTTGTTTCCTTCTCAATCGTTCGTTCCTCTCGATCTACCAGACGACTTGTGACTCCTCCACGTTCCTTTTCTTCCGCATCCACACGATGTTCAGTTCGACAATAATAGGAATATTCAACAACCCTCTCCAACGGCAATGATAGGAATATTCAATAACCCTCTCCAACACTTGGGTAACAATTTGAAAAATACTCAATGTTTCGCACCTTTTTTTGTATCAACAAGGAGATCCAAGGCTGGGTAGGGGGGCGTACTGAGAGAGCAGGAGAGATAGTTGTCACGACGGGTGCGGTGGAAGATAAGCGGGTGTCACGTGGGCTGCGCGGGACCAAGGTCTGTTTCAAAAAACGCGCTTTGGCCTTCGAGCAGAGGATGCCGATCATCCACGTGCCGCTCACCACGAAAGCACGTGGATGATCAGCGCGCGCTCTACGGCGCCAATCGCGAGGGTGCTGGTGTCGTCTCCATTCGAAAGCACGTGGACGATCAGCGCGCGCTCTTGGCGTTGGTCGTGCGCGATGCGCCACCGCATTGCGCACCCCCAACGCCATGTATGTGCGCACACACGACGTGCACATCATCCATCCGAGAGCCGGGGGATGATCAGCACTCGCTCCTGGCGCTGGTCGTGAGCAATGCCATGGAGCATTGCGTACGGTCAAGGCCATGACTGTGAGCTCCCGAGCGAACAATGAACATGCTGCGTGCGCAGGATGGAGAACGACGCCACGACTCGCTGAAGTGTTGATGGTGTTTCTTCGCCGAGTGTGCCGCGTGTTTCGTGGCGATGGCCTCGTTGAATAACAAACATCGCCCGTGAGAACACACCGCTTGATTGTTGTAGTTCGCCCGTATCCGGACTTCCCTTTCCGCCTGGTATTACTACCCACCATTGGCGTTTTTTGGTTGGCGGTTATTGGTTTCGCGCTTCCTGTTGCAACGGCGTCCGCCAGCGCCTCGAGGGCGACAACACGAAGTTCGGATCCCGGCGGACTTGCGGTTTGGCGCTTGTCACGCCGCGAGCTGCTTAGGTGATTCTTTTCGTGTTCCTTCCGACGTGCGCTGTTCTGACCGCATCACTAAAATCACACGCTTCCTGCCAATGTGCGTTGTTCCGACGGTTTGTAGGGGTCTTATGGGGGTATTGCCTACATGGCATTTTTCTGGGTCCCAACCGATGGGCCTTGGCATGGTGTCGCCGCAAAAATACATTGATATAGCAGCGCCCACAGCAAAAACAAAACAGTGTCTTTTTGTCAAGTTCGGATTCGAGCGGACTTCGACGTTCGCCTTTTATTTTACCGCCCTTGCCAACGCCCTACGCTTTAGCATAAGCTGTTGCTCAACCCCCTTTAAACCCTCATAAGGCAACTTCGGATCCCGGTGGACTTTCGATTTCGGATGAGTCTGGCCACACCCTTCAACAGCCTGGCCTGTTGCGCTGGTTTGCATTGTCAGAGACCTTTCAGTATGCAGAAGCGCTCGAGGGCGACAACACGAAGTTCGAATCCCGGCGGGCTTGCCGTTTGGCGCTTTCCACGCCGCGAGTTGCTAAGGTGACTCTTTTCGTGTTCCTTCCGACGTGCGCTGTTCTGACCGCATCGCTGAAATCACACGCTTCCTGCCAATGTGCGCTGCTCCGACGGTTTGTAGGGGTCTTATGGGGGTATAGGCTACATTGCATTTTTCTGGGTCCCAACCGACGGGCCTTGGTATGGTGTCGCCGCATAAATACACAGATATAGCAGCGCCCACAGCAAAAACAAAACAGTGTCTTTTTGTCAAGTTCGTTTTCGAGCGGACTTCTACATTTGCCATTTATTTTACCGCCCTTACCAACTCCTCGCGCTTTCGCATGTGTTTGGTTGTCGGATACCGTTGGGTGCGCAGAAATGCCAGCCTTGAGAATTGCCTTATGAGGGTTTAAAGGGGGTGGAGCAACAGATTGTGTGCGTCCGTTGACCTCCCTCCCAATCTGCGACGTGCAGCGCAGAAACCGGTTCCTCGCCACTCGTGCCGACGCCAAGTTCGGATCCCGGCGGACTTTTAGTTTCCGGATGAGTCAGACCACAGTATTCGACGGCCTGGGCTGTCGCGATGGTTTGCATTGTCAGAGACCTTTCGGTATGCAAAAGCGCTCGCGAGCAGAGGCCTTGCGAATTGCCCTTATAGGGGTTTGTGTGGGTACTCAAAATTAACCGCCTTGCGAATTGCCCTTATAGGGGTTTATGGGGGTTGTCGTTGGTTGCAGAGGCCGTATCCATTCTCTGTCTGTCGTCCATGCTTGTGTGCGCCCGCTTACATGCTCGTGTTTCGGCGTGCTTTTCGGTTCGCGCTGGCACACGTCGATATTTCCAGTGCGAGAAATGGGTGTCGCCTTCACGACTTCACGAGCCGGGGTTTGAAGGGGTTGCAGGGGGGTCTTTCGCCCACGACTGCATTTTTCGTGTCCTCGCCGCTGAGAGGTGGGAGTTCCGCGAGCTGTTGTACAGGTAGCTGTGAGTGAAACAGCGTACGACATGCTTGTGTGGCGATGGGGAGAGTCAGTGCTAACAGGGGTCAATTGGGGGTTCTGATGCGCCGATTCGTAAAGTGCTGCATCAAAGACGACCCTTTCTTTTGTCCGTGCTCTCGTTGCACGGACACTCCACGACGGCAGAGCCTCTATTCGATACGCCCGCACACACCGTTCCTTGTGTCCACCCGCTGACCCTCCCCTCCACGATCCGACGTGCGGCGCAGAAAACGGTTCCCCACCACACCTGCAACTGCCAAGTTCGGATCACGGCGGGCTTTGAGGTCYSGCCTRAATCTAACCACACTTTTCAACGGCCTGGCATGCCGAATGTGATCAGATTGTCAGAAACCTTTTGGTGTGCAGGAGTGCTCGCGAGAGTGCTGCGGGCTTGCGAAAAGCGCTTATAGGGGTTTCTGGGGGTCGTCGCCAGTGACAGAGGCCGGTTCCGTTCTCGGTCTGCCGTCGATCTTCGTTGCCCTCCAAGGGGTTTAACTGTCGCGATGCGTGGAGTGTTGTCGCTGACATGCTCCTGTTTCGGCGTGCTTTCCGTTTCGCGCGGTCACACGTCGACATTTCCAGCGCTCGAATTGGGGGTCGCCGTCTCGACTGCACGCACATGGGTTTGTAGGGGTTGCAGGGGGGTCTTTCAGTGAAGGCTACAATTTTTTCTTGTCCCTGCCGCTGAGATGTTCGAGTTCCACGAGCTGTGCTACTGGTAGCTGCAAGTGAAATACCGGACGACCTTGGTTTGACGATGGGGAGAATCGGTGTTAACAGGGGTCATTTGTGGGGTCCTTCAGCGCCAGACTGTTAAGTGCTGCATCCACCACTGCCCTTTCTTCCGTGCGTGCTCTCGTTCCACGGACACTCGAGAGCGACGGAGCCTTTATTCGTTACACCCTCGCATGCCGTTCCTTGTGCGCACCCTATGACCCTCCCTTCCACTCAGCGACGGGCCGCGAAAAAAAAGGTTCCTCGCCACACCTGGGACCGCCAAGTTCGGATCTTGGCGGACTTTGAGGTTCCGCCTTAAGCGCTCTATTCATCCTCCAAAACGGTTCCTCGCCACTCCTGCAGCCGCCAAGTTCGGATCCTGGCGGACTTTGAGGTTCCTCCTATATCAAAGCACACTATTTAACGACCAGGGCTCTCGCATGTGTTTGCATTGTCAGAGACCTTTTCGTAAGCAGAAGTGCTCGCAAGAGTACTGTGGGTGCTCAAAATTACACGCCTTATGAGTTGCCCTTATAGGGGTTTAAGGGGGTTCGCCGTCGGTGGCAGAGGCCGGGTCCGTTCTCGGTCTGCCGTCGATCTTCGTTGCCCTCCAGGGGGTTTAACCGTTGCGATCCGTGGAGACTTGTCGCTGGCACGCTCGTGTTCCGGCGTGCTTTTCGGTTCGCGCAGTCAGACGTTGACGTCGCCAGCGAGCGAATTGGGGGTCGCCTTCGCAACTCAGGGTTGTAGGGGTTGCATGGGGGGTCAATCAGCCACGGCTACGTTTTTCTTATCCACGCCGCGGAGATGTGCGAGTTCCACGAGCTGTTCAAATCGTAGGTGTGACTGAAACACCGGACGAGCTCGCTTTTAAAATAGGGAGAATTGGTGTTAACAGGGGTCAATTGGGCATCTTGCAACGCCTATTTCTGAAGTACTGCATCCACCACTGCCCTTTTTTCTGTGCGTGATCTCGTCCAGCGGACATTCGAGTGCGATAGAGCCTTTATTTGATACGCCCGCACATACCGTTCCTTGTATGCACCCGCTGACCCTCCAAATCTTCGACGTGCCACGCAGAAACCGCTTCCTCGCCATTCCTGCAACCGCCAAGTTCGGATCCCGGCGGACTTTGCGATCGCCAACTTCCTAAACCGGTACCTCGCCACTCCTGCAACCGCCAACCTCGGAGATCGTCTTGTCAATTACACGGATCGGGGTTTGTCAGGCTGACTCTGACACCGCATGGGCTCGATTTGTCGATAGGGAGAATCGGTGTTAACAGGGGTCGATTGGGGTCAGGGTGACTCTGACACCCGCGACTAGCCTTTCTTTTGACTGCGGGAGAGCGTGGAAACATTCTTGGCGCCATAAGAAACCGCCAAGTTCAGATCACGGCGAACTTTCGAGTTCCGGGTGATGTTAACCGTCTCTTTCCACGGCATGGTCCATCACGTATGTTTTCGTTGTTGGAGAGCTATGGGTGCGCAGTCAAGCTCACCATGTGTGTTGTCGTGGCTGGGTTATATGCGGGTTGCTGTCGGTGGCAGTCGTTATTGTCGTCCGCGTGCGAGGGCGCTTCAGTGTCAAAGCCGCGGGTGCTGCAAAGGCTTGGAGTCCCAGCACACAGCCTCCTGATCGATATGTGGTTAGTACAGGTTTGTGGGGGTCGCCTGAGGGTCATTAAGCCATGTTTTCTCTAGCCTCTTACCTCTCATAGCCTTGCATTCCTGATCACGATTGGCCGACAGTCAGTTCACAGCGACCGATTCATGACCGGTTCGCCGTCGATTCGATTTCTCCCAAATTCGGGTCCCGACGGACTTCTGGATTCCGCGATAGTCGGACCGCTCCTTGTGCACGTCKAACTCATGATAGGACACATCCTCCTGGAAGAACGTCAAGCAACGACGAAATAAATGGGTCGATAAATAAACAACAAAGATTCACGCCTGGCCCGTGGGATGTTGGACCCATAACCAAATGTCACCAACCACTTGCAGGCAGTGCGAGGTAAACATCTATAAATGTGGGCCGGGCACAAGCTTCCTCATAACGACTTCCCATGCATGAGTTCGCAAGCGCTCGAAGCGATGGCATGTTATATGCTCTCCACACTCGCGTGGCCCTCGGCATCGCCGAGGGTCTCATTCCACACTCAAGTGTCGGCTGACAAGCGCCTTGAGGGTCTTACCTCTCGACGCTGGACAACCGCTAAGACGGTTACGGAACCTACCCTCTCCAGCAACCTGAGGGAGTAACGGGTGGGTGGGCCAAGGCCCTTTGTAGCAGCTGAGTTCCATCTACGGAGGCCTTAAAAAAGGTCAAGGGGTTTGACTTTGACAGCTGCTACGGACTTCAACGAAGTATAAAAAGCA